GGTAGTTTTTCTGCTTTTCTGGGATATGGGGTAGGGTGCTCTGTGCAATTTATTTCATGATGACTGCTGGGTTTACATTTGAATATTTAAACATACACAATTATAGAGTGTTGGAAGTATCAAATGCAATATCTTGTTTTTTTAGGACCATCACATTTACTTCATCTGTTTTTCATGAGTGTTTGGAAGATAAGGAAGTATATCTAGAGTGGGATTCTTTTTTATCTCCTTCTAAAAAGAACATTAATTTATTAATTTTAAAATTCTCCGATGATTGGGTCAGTATAGAAATACCAGGACATATGAATGAGGTAAAAGGAGAGTACACAGCTCTGATAATCACCTCTGTTATCCCATCTTATGAACACACATACACACTTCCGCAACATGTCTAATCACTTAGGTTTTGATGATGACTTAGAGGAGACCTGACTTCAATTAACTCAAATTCTTACCAGTAAGGGTATTTAGCTCAAGATACCTATTTTAATTTCTTCAGTACTCCAAGCCTTCTAGGGCTTTTGGACATGTCTCCTCCCAGTTTGTTGCTCACTTAAGTCTTTGTGAGTGTCAGATATTGTCTGAAGAAGAAGAAAAATCGGTCCTGAGGATGAGATTTTCAGAACTTAGCTTATACGGGAGATGACCTGTTTAACCCAAGCACAGCAGCGGGCTAGCAGGAGACGGGTGGCCGGCCTTCCAGAGACACGACAGTTGATTCTTTTTTCTGCCCAGCAAGTTGTGACCTTCAGGGTATAAATAATGGAGTATGTATCTGATACAGATACCAACTATTCAACTTGACGGTTTTTTAATACCTATTTGAAGGAACAGAGAACTCATTGGTGCTTTTGGAAATATTTGGCCCATTCTCTTAGGTTGACCTTGTTCTCATGTACTATAAATTGCTACTTGAAGATGTAGATTTTCTGTAAGTACAAAAATTTGATATAAACAAATCTTGTGGGCTAATGAAAAACAGTCACTTTTGAAATATCTTTGAAGACTAGTAAAAGCTATCATGATTTACCTGAAAATATTAATTATCAGACACAAATAGGGTCTTCAGGCCCCATATAGAGGCTAATGGTTCTTTTGCAGCTAAATGCATATTTTTCTTGATTTTTTAATTTCATCCCTTCACTCTAAACTCTTGACTTGGCTGCTTCTGGTCCACCTCCCTGAGCAAATCAGAGCCAGTAAACTGATGAAAGCTTTTTCAAGTTTCTTATTTCCTTACCTCCAAATTTCCCTATAGTTTTACCATTTTCTTCCCCGAAGTAGAAAGTTGTCCTGGGTTTTCTTTACAAGCTAATCCAAACAACAAACCATTGTTTCCTATCTCCTGTATCAGCTATCTACCTTCCAATCTGGATTTCCTTCATGGAGATTCCTTTAATTGAAACATACCTTTGGAACAAGAGTTTGCCTTTGGTTTTCCTAATACACCTATTCCCCTCCACCTTTCAAGCTATTGTTCTTCCTGACCAACTACTAGTAAATGCAGGTTACTTGCCTCACCCTTACCATTTCACCATCTACTCTTACTACAATCCTGTTTCTGGCTTTCTGCCCCTACAGAGAAACTTCTCTTTTGAAGTTGATGTGTAGTTTGCTTTTGTTTTTGTTTTTTTAAATAAGTCAGAGAGGCAACATTCATTGAGACTTCTTGCTGCATTTGACACTGTTGATGGCCCTCTTAATGTCCCCCCCCCCGACTTATGTGACCCCCACTTGTCCACTGATCTTAATTATGGAGATTATGTATGCATCATTTGATGGCTTATTTATCTCCTTCCTGTCTCTACTCTCTTAGTTGTCCCCTCCCCTCAAAGAGAACCTGGGGGTTTTGCGCCCCTCCCAGGGACATATTGCTCTTACCTCTAAGCTATTACCTCTGTGTGGGTCCTCACGTCACACCACCTACTCGACATTTATAATATGTATCCACCTGTGCCTCCAATTCCTCTCACCTACAGGTGAATTCATGAGCTCCCTGTCCTTACAAGCTGCTTCCCTCCCCCCCCACCCCAACAAATTTTATCTAGTGAATCCATCTTGAAATCTAGTGAGATGCACATTCACTCAGATGCCTAATTCTTTCCCAATTTCCTTTAGTACTTTTTGGTTTTGCTTCTTCTTGTTTTTTATTCAGGCCACTGAGAGATAGTTTTCACACCCTACAGACTTTTTGGCTTTTTCTCTCTGCTTCTCATTTCTCCTCTTCAGTTCTATCAGCACTTAGCTATCAGGTTAGGTTTTCTACAGAACGTTTTTGTTCTTACTTTCATCCCTGCCCTATTCTTTGAGTCATGTGTTCTTTCATTAGTCCACTTATTTATTCATTGTTTAATGTATTCGTCATAAATTAAGTGCCTACACAGTGCCACTGAGGGGACTATAAATGTGAATAAAACAGACCTGGAGTTCTCCCTCACAAAACTGACAGAGGAGCAGGGAAGACAGACATTAAACAAATACCTCGAAAGTGAGTGAATTACACTGTGGCAAGTGCTCCAAAGGCCCTCTTCCCCTCCTTCCTCCTCCTGGCCCAAGGGCATTCACTACACTAAGGTGACAGTGAGGGACCTGATGCTGTAATTGTGTACAGCACTTCCACACATGAGGGTCAAGCTATTGAGAGTAAGTATTTTAGGTGGCAGGAGGAGCAAGAGCAAAGGAAGGAAGTATCCTGGTGCCTTGAGGAGATGTTGAGTAATACAGTTCGGTGTGGATCTGGGGCGCATGCAAGTGAGAAGTGGAAGTGTTGAAACCTGAATGGACGGCGATTGGCTCTCTGATATGCTGCTTTGCTAAGTGCTTTACATGCTTCATCTCAGTTATTCTTGCAAAAATCTTACAAGGAAGGTGGTGTTAGCCAACGTTTCAGGGGAAGCATCCGAGGCCAAGAAAGGCTCATTAGGACAGAAAGACTCAGGACCATGGAGTCCGCAAGTGCCACAACCTGAATACAGCCATAGCTCTCTCTTACCCTGAACTTGGGCTGTTATTGGTACAGTATGGAGCCATAGTAGCTCTGTGTTTGTGCTGAGCACATGGGTCTTTCCAAGGTAACTTCTTTTACTATCACCATTTGGGCTTGAAGCTCTGCAAATGCTACTTTTATGACACTGAATCTGTGCTCATGGAGGACAGGGAGCATTCATCCTTGTATTTTCTCAGAGTCCCTACCATCTTGTCTTACCAAGGTAGGTAAGGTAGGTAGATCCTCTAAAAGCATTTGTTCAGTAACTTTGATGACATCTTTCCATCACCCATCACACAGAAGTTTACATTAGAACTGTTTGACAGGTGCCTTAACTAAATACATTTGTCAGGACACATGGCTAGCACTGCCTGAGTTTTGTACAGTGTTCTTAGTGCCTTCCCCCTGTTCCCTTTACAGGGCTCATATGTACACATCCCGTCAGACAAAAAAGAAATACAACAGCGGTACTCTGTAATGGCAACAAAAATTGGAAATTAATAAGCAGCTCAGGTCATGCCTCAGTGCAGCCAAATGTAGGAATCACTCTCTATGTTGACTTTATCCCGTGATTAGGTCTGTCTTTTGAAACTTGAGAGGAAATTGGGATAGTCAGAATATTAATAACAGCAGTTTCTAGAAGAGACCTGCTCCTAGCTCTTTTTTTTTTTTTTTTTTTTTTTTTTTTTTTTTTTTTTTTTTTTTTTTTTTTTTTTTTTTTTAGGATGCAAATTTGAACACATAAAATGTTACTAACTCTGGACAGGGTAGCAAGATGGACTGGGAGGGTATACAAATGCATATTTCTGGTGGAGTATAACAAAAAGGGTATCAGTGGGGAGAAAAGGGGTGCCTTGAATGCAAGCGTGTGAGGACAGTGATGGAAGGTGACAGCAGCTTAGAAAACGGGCTCTCGTTTCAAGAGTAAAATGTGACTTTGTGCAAAGTGCACATGTGAAGTACTTCAAATGAAGCATTGGGATTTTCCCAAGTCTCCAGGCTTCTGCTCTTTTTTTTAGCCATTAGCAACACATTACACTTGGTCTTCCCTAGAAGAAACTCTTTTCTCCTTCAAGCTCCTTAGAATTAGGTACTGTTAGGAAGGGTCCTTGCCTGTAACGGATGAACATATACAGAAAGATAAGAAAAGTGATTGTACCAAAGGATAGAAACTTACTAAGAAAATGGAAGAATATAGGATCTGAGAGAGAATTTAGAGAGAAAAATTCAAAACCAGTCCTAGGAGAGAATATACACCCTCTACTGTTTCACTTAAGCCAAGGAATGTGTTTGTGTGTGTGTGTGTATGTGTGTGTGTGTGTGTGTTATGTTGTGATGACATAATTTCTTTTCCCTTGTGGGAAAAATAGTGCTTGAATTTACTGTGTCTGCGGCACAGGGGTGGGGAGGTATTCCCCTAGAGGAAGGTGGTACTGAACATGTTTGCGTTTGCAACTCTTTACCTCACACCTAACGAGACCTGGACTCTTTGTCGTTAGGTCATTTGGAAATAAATATACATACACCTCACCCAGTCATGTGGGAGGCCAACGGAACAGTTTTTCTCAAAGTATTTGAGGATCATAGCAAGATCATTTTTTGAAATAGGAAATATTTAGTGATGCTTTATATAGAAAACCAAGCTTACTAAGAAGTAACATTTTCCTTAAGGAAAAAGTGTGACTAAATAGTATGTAATATGATGTGAAATTAATACCATGTTAAATTTTAAACAATGAAAAGTTTTCAAGAGTCAAAACTTACTCTGTAGAGTACGCCCACATCAAATGCTTCTATTAAGACTTCGGGTCAGTTGACACTTTTTTTTTTACTTTAGCAAGTTCCAAACTGGAAAAACAAGGGTGTTGCCAGTGGAGGTTGAGGTGAATTGAAAGGTGGGCGGGATGCCACCGCCAGCCAGCACCGAGAGGCTGTGGTTAGTGCATTTCATGGATGGGAAATGCAGCCCCGCCCCTGCCAACAAGGGTTTCAAAATGCATTTTCTGTTTTTCAGGATGAATCTTCAAGTCATGAATGTAACCAGCGCACAATCCTGCTTTATGGAGTGGGCAAAGAGCGTGACGAAGCGAAGCATCAGCTGAAGAAGATTACCAAAGATATTTTGAAAATCCTAAATAAGAAGAGCACCACAGAGACAGGGGGTAAAGACCCTTAATGCCTTTGCTCCCATTGGGCTGTCTTTTGGCCTTCCTGTTAGCACAGGCTTTATCAGAGTCCTGGATGTCACTGTCACCAGAGTGTTTCCTCTCATGAATGACTGTCATCTTGAAATATGAATAAGCACATTGAAATTTTAAGGCCTTGGTTCCATTTGTAGTAAGCTTTATATTTTAATTTTAATTTTCTGCCCCCCCCCCTTTTTTTTTTTAAAATCCTTCCCATATTTCCTGTATGGGAAGTACCTAAATGAAGTACTGAAGAATGAATTGGAAACCCTTAGTCTGGAAGAGTTCCACTTCTTCAGTTCTCTGCCATCCTGTTTTAGGCTTGTAGTTTGCTCTGAGTACTCACATTTGCACAGTAATTGAAAAGCATGACAGTGTAGTTGCTGATCTTTTCTTACATTAGTCAGAACGATACTTGCAGTAGGTTGCTGCCTATAACAGCGAGCGATTTCAAGTTACACAGAAATTTGGTTCTTTGCTCGGTAATGCCTTCTTTCCTTGGAAAAGCGTTTCCCCATGCTTTGGACATAGTTTTTTTTACATGAAACTATGCCTTATATTATGTTACCACATTGCATAATTGGAATTCTGTAATTATCCACTTCACATTTGCCTAATTACTCTTTTCAAGGATTGTTTATTTTATCAGGCATTCATAAGATTTAAAATAAGATATCATTATATATACTTCACTGCCATTACTGGTGTTTATTTCTTTTACTTAAATAATCAAAGAAAAAAAGTGTTTGGGTTTTCCCTATTTATACAGCATTCTTCCTTCCACATGGCACAGACTCCTCTAGGAACCCTACGTTGTTGTTGCATACAAAAGACACACATTTTTATGAACCTCTCTCTCCCCAGGACCTCTGGTCTTTAGATTTCAACCAGATGTTTTCCTAGAGCTTGTCCACACTAGATCTTTGGAAGAGAAAAGTACAGAGAACTAATACAAATAGCTCTCTGTCCTCTCTATCGGTAGATGTGCACATGCAGAAGCAAGGTACAAAGGCAAGATGGTTTTCAGTGTGAATGTGGTAGTGCAGGTGTCTGATGTCTGTGGCAGTTGTCTTTAGAGCATAATGGAAGGGTTAACTTTCATGTGATTTACAGCTCTTCCCTGACCCCCTTCCCGTCCATTGCCCCTGAAGGACCTTGTACCACACTGGCTTCGTGAGGGAACAACCAAGAATTGTGGATGGGAAATGAAACCTTGTTGTTGTTGGCCTGTCGTTATTGAGCTTGGTTTTAGAAAACAAACACCCACCCCCCCCCCCCCCCCACCCCCGAAACAAAGAACCTGATCTAAGAAAAACTGTTGATCAGTTGTTTTGCTGTTTCTTTTTGTTTGAGAAAAGAGGAAATGGATTGCATTTAGAAGGTTGAATTTAGAAGCCTTGTAACTAGCTAGCAAAGGGATTTGAAACTTCTTTTTGTGTACTTGGGAACTGGGTGGACACTGTCTTTAGAAGGGTCAGTAATACGTGTTTTATCAACACTAATTGTAGAGAGTCTTTCCAGCTCTTAGGGAATTTGGGGGTTTGGGAGGTTGAGAAGAATGGGAAAGGGGAGGAAACAATGCAGTGTCTTTTTCTGTTGAGCCTACTTCCTTCCTTCACAGTGAGTGTTTAATGCCCGACTACAGTCTGTCCTATCTTTGTACCAGTCTTTTAAATAGGCACTTCTCACTTTTGAACTCACAAAGAGAACATCTTTGTTGTTCCATGCTACTTTTTGAGTTATCAGCAATAGAACCACCACTGTGGAGTGGCATTTGCAGTGGGGATATTTGTCTTTTCCTCATTTTAGATAAAATTCCTCAATCACATATGTGTTAATTTGGGATGTAGTGAGCTGCCTTCTGATAATAAATAGTCAAAGGTTAAGTCCCTCCTTAAAACCTACTATGCTTGCCAGAAGCTAGCTAGCTGTACTTCAGATTAATGGTAATTTGTCCATCGTTTCAGCAAAGAAGAGAATTGGTAAAGCAGGAAAGTATAGTTTGTGTTAGCGTCTATTGATTTGTGACTATATAGTGGTTTCGTATTGTTTTGAGGAAATCATTAGAAGTGGTCTCAGATCAGCCAGGCCTTATCTAGGAGTTTAAATGACACTTGCAGTTGAACATGGTCAATCTTCATTTTTCTATTTACATTGGCTGGTCATCTTTGGTTGTCAGTGTTTTTTTTTTTTTCTTTTTAAGTACATTAATGAAGTTTACCATGAGAATAAAGACAAATGTCAGGATCATACACTTTTTTTTCTTAAAAGAAGACCAAAGTTAAGCAACATAAGAGCAATAACATATATTATGAAAGCAGATTAAATAAAGTAAATGAGGAAAATCTGTAAATTATGACTAAATTGTTATTCGTGTAAATATCATTAAAATAGTCTATTGAGAACTACCACTAATTTCTTAAATGTTTCTTTGAAAGTGAATGTAAATTGCCAAGAATCAATTGTATATTCTTTATATGAGGTTTTAAGAAGTTAGTTACCTGTAAGTAAATAGATCCTATTTAGCATAAACCACAATCACATGCACACACACACATGCATGCACACACACACAAGATGCATTTGTGAGTTCTCATGGTGGCAATACTTCAGATGTGTTATTTTTGTTTGTTTATTTGTTTTGTTTCCAGGAAGGAGTGATTAAATATATTAACTTCACTTTTACAGTACATTATACCCAAAATCATTGATGTGAGTTTTCAGCCTTGGATCAATGATGTTAGTAAATGGAAAATTCAAAACTTGGATATTTTAAACATGCTTATTACATGTGAATAGCTATATTTAAGGCAAACCACCATAGTTAAATTGAGAATAGATATTGAAAAACAAGTAGGTTTAATGAACTTCTTTGTTCTTATTCTTTGTGTTAGATACGGTGTTTTGAACAAAAGTGGCACAGTCTCTTACCTTTTGTTACCACTCACCTTTTGATTCTATTTACTCTGGTATCAGGGTTTGTTAGCTTTAGGAAATAAAACACCCTGCTGAGTGTGTGTGTGTGTGTGTGTGTGTGTGTGTGTGTGTGTGTGTGTGTGTTTGCACATGAGCATGAAGCATCTAGACTATGCTTCCTTATATTTGAAAGAGGATCTCTTTTCTTTCAGTGTTATTTTCTAAAACCATTAGATTTACCTTTATCAACATCGTTTTGAGTTGAGTGAAATATTTGTGTCTTTAATAGAAAAAAATCAGTAAAGTGGCCTTGGTGCTCTGAAAGTAAACTTTCCTAAATAAGATATGAGTGGTAGAGCTCCCTTCTTATGACCCCTGAGAATCGTAGTGTTGGAAACGATCTTAGGAAGCATATAATCTGATCTTTGTTTTTTTGTTTTCTTATTTTAGATTTGTCTTTATAAATTCATGTATTTAAAGATATTTAACACAGGACTTAATTCTTTTGGGTCTTATCCTTAGTACTGTTAATAAGAACTAGAGTCCCCTGGGATAAGAAGTGTTTATAATTTTTTTTTATTTTGGAATTTTTTTTAAAACTTCTTCATGCTAAATTGATAAATGTAGCACTTTAACATTATGTGGAGAGATTTAATTCTTTGCTACCCCTAACAATGTTAGAATGGTATAAATTTCCTTTTTTACATATTAAATTTTGGGGGATTAATATCCTGGTGAATGCCCTAAGAAGATGCCAGTGACGTATCCTGTTCTGTCACTGTGACCATCGGTAATTTTTACCCCCTTTCATTGTTGCTGTCTTCATATTTTAAGAGTTAGAAATGTTTATAGAGGTATTTCCCAGTAATAGCCAAAATATGGAAACTACTCACTAGAATTAAGAAATAAATGGTGGTATATCACACATTGGTATACTATACATGAATGAGAATTACTCCTTTTAGAACAAATTCCTTTTAGAACAAATTAAAGTTGCCTCAACAACATGGATCAAGCTCAGAAGCATATTGTTGCATGAAAGATGCTGGATGTAAAAAGTATCTCTCATGGTTCCAAACTGGACATTACTAATCCAAGCCTTTAGACTTTAGGATCTTGGTTTCCTGGGGCAGAGAGGACTAGAAGGAGACTGAGGGGTTTCCGGGGATCTGGTGTGTGATTTTGTGCTTTGAGTCTCAATTATGCGAGTGTTTTTACTTTGTAGATATTCATAGTTTGTGTGCCTCTTCATATATGTTATACTTCAATAGAAAGTATCCACTGAAAAAGTCAAGAGCTTCTATGAAATGAAAAGTAATGTATCTATTGTATGTTTAGTTGGAGATGAAGGACAAAAAACCAGGAAGAACAAACAGGAAGCATTTCCAACTCTGGAGACTGTGTTCACAAAACTTCAGCTCCTTTCATATTTTGATCAGCATCAAGTGACATCTCAGGTAGCCATTTAAAACTGTGTATTGTGCATTTGGGGTTATTCATTTGCACTGCGTAACAATTTCTTTCATGCAGTATATACTTTTGGCTTTGTTTGGTTTTATGAATACGTTTTTTAAAAAATACTTAGTTTTGAGAGAGATAGTACAAGCTGGGGGGAGTGCCAGAAAGAGGGGTGGGCCACAGAGGATCCAAAGAAGGCTCTGTGTTGCCAGCCAAGAGATCATGACCTGAGCCAAAGTCAGATGCTTAATGGGCTTAGCCACCCATGCGCCCCTATAAATGTGCTTTTTAAACATATTCACAATCATCTCAAACTCTTAAGTAGTTCAGTTTTAAGTGTCAGGTTGCCCTTTTCAGAGAAATTTATTTTTTTCACAAATATTTTTACTTTATAATAATAATAACCAACACTATGTCAAATAATCCCTAATGCAATACTTAATACATTTTGGCCCTACATTACTATTGATAAGGGAGAAATCTGTTAATTAGTGAAATAAAATACTACTTAGAAGAAACCAGATCTGTGTTGTTTTACAAATCCATTGATTTCAAATAAATGTTATCTGGAAATTAATTAGCATTTGTAGCAGTTTTACCATTAGGATAGTTAGGTCAAAATCTTAATGACAACTTGCCTTGTATCTTCAAAATACAGTTGGAAGGAAGTTGTTTGATTTTTATATTGGTTTGATTGATTGTTGTTTGATTTTTATATTGATTTGGTTTCTGTGGAAATATGTTTTAAATTTTAAGAGCAATATATAAATTCAAATTTCATAAAAAATTAAAATAATTTTAAGTACTGCTTTTCTAATTATTTTCACATTTTTGTTGTCCAGATCTCCAATAATGTGCTGGAACAAATCACAAGCTTCGCTTCAGGAACATCCTATCATCTCCCTTTGGCTCACCATATTCAACTCATCTTTGATCTTATGGAGCCAGCGCTGAACATCAATGGACTAATTGACTTCGCAATACAGGTGTCAGAGAGACCCTGCTTCTCTGATTTTTAGGAAAGCAAACCTGCTAGACATCGTACAACTTAAATTGAGCGGACCACTGTATTTTTGAATAATTGAGACCTTCTCAATCAACAGTATTCAACTAGCGTTTTAATGGCAGCTATGTCCATAATTTTCAATTAAATAATTATAATTGGGTCTAAAATATATAATAGTCATTTAAAAATGTGAGGGGTTTTGAGGATTGATTTTTGTCTTTTGCTTAAGAAAAGGTAAAATTTACCATTTATTGTAGGGTATATTTTAGGTTAAGAACAAAAATAAAACCGTATAATTTGATTTGTCACATTCCATTTTTTTTAAGGGATTAACATTTGTTTTGTGTTTTTGTTTGTTTATTTCTTTTGAGAGAGAGAGAGAGAGGGAGGGAGGGAGGGAGGGAGGGAATCCCAAGAAGGCTCCTTGCTGACAGCTCAGAGCTGGACTTTGCACTCAATCTAGTGAACCTGAGATCATGACCTTGGCTGAAATCAAGAGTCAGATGCTTAACCGACTGAACCACCCAGGTGCTCGTGTCCCATTAGATTTCTTATACACATACTTGAGTTCATTTATTATGTTATTAGTGAGTAGAATTTAAACTTGTTTTCTATTGCTTATTGGAGGTGTTAGTTTGTTTATAACAAGAAAATAATGATAAATAACATCTGTTTTCTTAAAAAGAAGGGAAAAGAGAAGAAAAAGTGAGAAGTAGGGAAATCATCTGGTCTAGAACTTGGGGCTTCCCTCAAGTTTTGGTAGATATTTCAATGTTGGATACTTCCTGACTGTATATACCATGATGTCTAGACAAAAGAAAAACTGTAGAATTTGGCAAGGGATTAAACATAAAAAAGTTTAATTCTAGGGGGCTTGTTTTCTCACACTGTAGTTATATGGCATATGGTCCGGGGACACGATAATGGGTGAGATAAGATGGTGTTAGAATAACTCAATATAGGGGCGCCTGGGTGGCGCAGTCGGTTAAGCGTCCGACTTCAGCCAGGTCACGATCTCGCGGTCCGTGAGTTCGAGCCCCGCGTCAGGCTCTGGGCTGATGGCTCAGAGCCTGGAGCCTGTTTCCGATTCTGTGTCTCCCTCTCTCTCTGCCCCTCCCCCGTTCATGCTCTGTCTCTCTCTGTCCCAAAAATAAAATAAACGTTAAAAAAAAAAAAAAATTAAAAAAAAAAAAAAAAAGAATAACTCAATATATTCATGGCTTGTGAAGATAAATGTTTTTCCTATCATTTTGGCAGCTACATTTTTATTCACTCTTTTCTTCCATTGTAGCTGCTAAATGAACTGAGTGTTGTGGAAGCCGAACTGCTCCTGAAATCCTCCAGCCTGGCAGGAAGTTACACGACGGGACTGTGTGTGTGCATTGTGGCTGTTCTCAGGCGGTACCATAGTTGTCTGATCCTGAATCCTGATCAGACAGCCCAGGTGTTTGAAGGGTTGGTATACTAAATATCATTATTTTTTTTCAAATTAATGTTTTCCATGTATAATTGGTGATGAGATATTACAGTGATTTTAAGAGGAAAAATAGTACAGGTGCTGGTTTCAGTTTAAAAGATAGAGTTAAAGACTACTTTTGCCAGAAAATGTTTATCTGAGAAGGAGATGTAAACATGAAAGATAATGTTCTCTTAGTAGTGTATGAGTCTTTCCTGCCTTCCTTTCCTGCCCGTACTTTGTACAAGTATAAACCAGTTATTCAGAGCACTGCATCATTTGCTACCCTGAACCATGGCCTATTACAAATGATGAATACGTGCCAGCTGCTTTGCTGATGTCATTTCAGTTTATATTCGAGACCAAATAAGCTTTGTATGCGTTCTTACCTTAGAGATTTGCTTCTTCAGTTTTATTTCTTTTGTAAACTAAAAACATCTTGACAAAAGTTAATCTAGAACAAATGGCTTCCTTGTTTTGTAGTTTGTTTTTCGTTTGTGTGAAGTGTAGGCTAAAGTTTTCTTCACTGCTGTTCATGATGTTGGACTGTGTCCTCACATCCCCCATTCCAATCTGAGGTTACAGGAATGAGAGAAACATAAAGAACTGTCCTCGGGGCGCCTGGGTGGCGCAGTCGGTTAAGCGTCTGACTTCAGCCAGGTCACGATCTCACGGTCCGTGAGTTCGAGCCCCGCGTCAGGCTTTGGGCTGATGGCTCAGAGCCTGGCGCCTGTTTCCGATTCTGTGTCTCCCTCTCTCTCTGCCCCTTCCCCATTCATGCTCTGTCTCTCTCTGTCCCAAAAATAAATAAACGTTGAAAAAAAAAATTAAAAAAAAAAAAAAAAAAAGAACTGTCTTCTATGGAGCTCCTTTTTGTCCACTGCAGGCTCCTTTCTACAGGGCTTTATATAAAAAAAGGACAACTTCTTTTTCTACCTTTTTTCTTTCTAGACTTAAACATGAGGTTCTTCGGATTCACAGTGTTTTTTTTGGTGCGTGTGTGTGTGTGTGTGTGTGTGTGTGTGTAAATTAGCACATGTAATCAATTTATAATTTATTCTAGGGTGACATCCATTTAATAGCAGTTTTTTGGGGAAAAGGGAATGCTACCACATTAATTTTACACATAGATTATTGACTGAAATCTGAAACATCCCAGATATTTTTAAAAGTTTGAAAATAAACATTTTTGAATTTAGGAAATATATGACTACTAATAGCCCTCAACTACCATGTAAAAGTGAATAATTGGTACCAGTTACACATCAAGAAATTGAGACTCGGTCCTGTTAAATGAAGTGTATGTTGAAGTGATGTACTCAATATCACATGGCTAATAAATCTCCCAGATTGCTGAAAGTCATTCTGAGTTAGAGCAATTTCATGCTATTGGATTAATACTGTACTTTTTAAACTGTGTATGGAAACCCATGAGTCAGTAATGAAATCAATATTATAGGTTTTGACAAATTTTGTTATTTTAAAATTTATTTGTGTCATTTATTTTAACAGTTTAAATTTATTATTTATTAAATGTTCATAGACTCATATTTGATCTTATATTTTTAGTTTATCATGGATACTAAGGATCAGTGTTTTCGCAAAGATCTTATTTTGTACTGATATGAATATGCTGGATTTCAGTGCAAAATGTTTTCTTATCTCTGACAAGTGAAAAAGATCAAGGCAACACTGCTATACTCTGGATGCCTACCAAGCTCTTAATAAATATTTGTTACCTTTAAATTAAAAAAATTCTTTCAAATGTTTGTTTATTTTTGAAAAGAGAGGGAGAGACACAGTGCCAGTGAGGGAGGGGTAGAGAGAAAAGGAGACAGAGTGTTTGAAGCAGGCTCCAGGCTGTGAGCTGTGAGCACAGAGCTTGACATGAGGCTCGACCTGATGAACTGCGAGATCATGCCCTGAACCAAAGTAGGCCACTTAACCAACTGAGCCACCTAGGCGCCCGTTTGTTTACTTTAATCACAAAATGATACTTGGCTTTTTAGAATATGTCTGGAATTTATGTTATGTGAATCTAGTTATCAACATAGCGAATCCTCTACTTCTTAATTGCAGGATACTTTTGCTGTAATTGACTACTTTTATCAGCTCTCTGGTTGCTGTGTCTGCTGATATCAATTCATAGGGCTTGGGGTGCAGCATTGTCATTTCTTTGCAGTTTCCTGGGTTCTACCTCTGGTATTTCTGATTGTAGCATCCTTCTTGGCCTCAACAGCCTAGGCTCTCTTTGGCTTCCCCCCCCCCCCCCC